GTGACTTTTGATTTAATGGTTTTAGTTACCTCGTACAGTGATAGCATGTTAACGGGATATTACCGGGAATATGCCATATATTGATGGGTTTTTGCCAAAGTCATAAGTAACATTTTGGCCAAACTCTTCTGATTATCTTACGTAACAGGTCTAAATGGATGATTTGCCAAACTCACGTAGGTGATTGAGAAATATTTATTGAGAAAAAACGGTCTTATAAAATATCGTAAGACACGCTGTTATTTAGAACATATCGGCAGAGTATCGTATGTACAATGATGTGATGTTGCTTACGATAATAATTTTTATTACTTATGTTACTTTCAGTGTGTTATTGTGTTCCAATCTGGTACCTAGTGGTAAGTTTTCTTTTTATAAAAAATGTTAGAAATGTTCGGTATTGGTCCCCAAACTATTGAAAACTGTCTAGATTAAGGTAAGGTGGGGTAACTGGACCATAGGCATTTTATAATCCAACAGTGTCTATATTTCAACTTTTAGCTACAGGCAAGACTGCATTGGTGCCGATCCGAGGGTAAAACAACATTTGTAACCTCAGTTTTCACTATTCATTGGTAGTGAGTAACATAAATTTCATCCTGTTTTTGCTTCGTACAATGTGGTGCTTTAGTGACTTGTGGTGTTCTTTATAAGATAAGTATTTTTCTTAAAGGTTTTATTTGAACTTAGTAAAAGTGAGTAAATAAGCAATGAAACGTATTTATTGGTTGTTATCTTTGTATTTTTCTTCAGGCTAGGGTGGTCCAGATACCCCAGAAATATTTAGTGGATGGGGAAATTGGACCACATGTCAGGGGTAACTGGGTCCAGTGGGGATCCAGTTACTCCTAACATTTAAGTGATAAGTCTATTATATAGTTAATAAAGTCACTTTAAAATTGTTGTTTGATATATTTTGAAATTTTGTTTAGATTATGGTTGGAACATGTGTTCGAAAAACACAAAAAGGAGTTGGCACTGCGTATACCGCCGAAGACCACCAGCAGGCCATTGATGATGTGAAACATGGGAACAAGACAACCCGTGGTGCGGCTATATTTTACAATATACCTAGATCCAGTTAAAACGTTACATATTGGGTACTCGAGGCAAGGGTTGCGTATCTCGCGAAAGTAAAGGCGGTGGTGGTGTAACATCTTATCTTTTGTCAGCCGAGTCTGTCAAGAGATGAAGTTTTGGATCTGGTTCAAAGCTATATTAGACAAAAGAATTTAAAAACTCGTTTTAAAGACCAACGACCTGGTGTTGATTGGTTTATATCATTTAGACAAAGTCATCGTCTATCTCTTAAAAAGCCTCAAAGCATTGAGCATATTAGATGCGACCAAGCTAATCCTTGGACAATATATGACTTTTTTGATAAATTAGAACAGCTAATTAAGGAGCTAAAACTAGAAGAACTAGAACCATTACAATCCATCCAAAACAAAAATAGTTAGAGCTGTGGGTGAACGCTGCCAACAGAAAACCGCTTCATCAGGAAGAGAAAACACGTGTTTTGCTTTACTGTTCGGCTGCTAGCGAAATTCTTCCTTTACTCTGTGTTTTCACGGGAAAATTTGTTATGGAAAATTGGATAGACCAAGAAGTACCAACACAGACAGCTGTTTCTGCTACTGAGAGGGGATGGATGGAGACGACTCTATTTTATAACTGGTTTAAGAACGTGTTTCTAAAAAATATTGGCCCAGACTGACCGGTGTTGTTAATATATGACGGACGTGTAACTCATATCTCTACCCAGTTAATCCGATTAGCACAGGAGAATAATATTACTATAATGAAACTGCCACGCATCAAGATCTCAGAAGTATTCAATCTGCCGAAAATAACATAGAAATGCGTAAGAAATTTGAAGGCGTTCTACTAGACTTTCTTAAAAATGACGCTAAGCCACAGACCGAAAACAAACGAAAGAGAATTGCTACTAACTGCGAAATTATTACGACGGAATATTTAGACAAGAAAGAAACGGGGGACAAAGAGAGACAGGAAAAATTAGAACAAAAAAGACAGAAAATTCTAGAGAAGTCAATGAAAGCAAAAGGAAAAAAACAAATTTCTACAAAGCGCCATGAATAGAAAGACAATATTTCTAGTGATGATGAAGTTAGTGACTACTCCCTTCATGAAAGTAATGATAGCTTAAATCTAACTTTTTCTGATCAAGAGGAAGACCAAGACAAAAGTTCCCTCAAAGATACCAACAGTTTTCGGGAAGGGGATTATATCGTAGTAAAGGTTTTCGATAAGAAAGCACATTCACATAGACTATGTAGCAAAAATCTTAAATATAGACCTTAAAGGCTATGAAATAACATATATCAAAAGGCATTGTCAAACTACGAAATTTATGGAAGCCACAGAAGAATCATATGTCAGAGAAACTGACGTAGTACGGAAATTATCAAAACCAATAATCAGTGAATTTGCTCGCTACAACATGATAGGGTTTGGCACCGATCTTAACGACTTAAACATTTATTGATATATAAAACAAAAACTATTATATGAATTTTTCATTATTTTATCATTTCAAATATGTTGAAATAATTCTTTAAACTTTCACATTTGTTCTTTTATTAAATTAGGTTTTCTTTCAACACCAATAATAGCGATATTGTTAAAACAATGTAACTTAATTTTTTTCTGTGATACACAAATATACAGAAATAGGTCCAGATACCCCAAATCAACTATGGGGCAACTGGACCCACTGTAACAGAAACTACTAATTATTATTTTTTTTTAATTTAGAGTTTTTAAATTTGTGTTTAGGGGATTTCGTTACTAAAAGAAAACATACATAGGTACATTTATGTGAGTTTGTTTTGTTCCTTTTATTTTATTTTTATATTTTAAGCTCAATAAAAAAATATTTAAAGTTGACCTTGTAAAAACATGTTCCAGTTACCCCACCTTACCTTAATTGTTTCAAACCTACTAGAGAGAAAATTTAATATTACTATATGCAAGTTACCCAGGTACAATAGAAAACAATAATTTTAACCTATAAAACAAACTTGATTCTTTACAAAACAGTAATAAATTAACTGCAAGATAAGTTTTCGTCTTGTTTTAGCTGAGAAAGTAAAGATGTAGATGAAAATAATGTTAATAAAAGAGCAATGCTCTTTACAGTGAGGAACAAATTAATATTATGCCAATATTGCTGGTAGATTTAGATCAAGTATTTATCGAAACCAATAATTCAATACATATAGAAGGTTTGACTAATGATGAGTTCAAACATGAACCAGAAAATAGTATCACAACTGTTTACTTCTATTGCTGATTCTAATGAAATATCGGACAAAGATCCACCAATAAATATGGTTGATTATGACAGTGTTTCTTCTACAGATGATAATGAAAATTCTGTCAAAAAAATAATACACAAGAGACCAAAACGATTTTATTATTACAAAACCGTTTAACCTCCGATATCTCGTACTTTTCAGGACAGTCAAGTAGTAAAGATTCCGATTTTGAATTTGAGGTACGAAAAAAGGATAAATGTAAACTGTGTGGAAAGGATAGTTCTTTTAAAAAAACTGACATTTCTAAGGAATTATTTAAAAAACATACAGAAACGAAATGACAAAGTAAAGAATTATTCTCAGAAGATCAAAAAAGGTACTTCTGACAGCAACTTCCTTTGTGCCAGTTTCGATTTTGAAAAATTATTGAATACTCCTCATGCAGATAATTTACTGTTGTACTATTCAAGGAAATACATATTCTATAATGAATTGATCTATAAATCAGGTACACGAAATGGCTATTGCTATATTTGGGGAGAGTGCGATGGCAACGAAGGATGTAATGAGACTGTACAGTACTATTCAAATTTTTAGCAGACATAGATAAAAAAAGGTGTAGAACACGTAAGTTTATATTGTGACAGCTGCGCGGGACAAATTCGAAACCGTGCAATGTTGGCTGTTACAAAAATTCCCACAAGAAATAGCAACAACTATCAAAACAATAAAGATAGTATTTTTGCTTCCTGGGCATTCCTACATATGCCAGTTGATTCTGTCCATGCAACGATTGAAAGATCTACTAAAAATAAGATTATTTGGGCACCATCAGAATGGGACACCATTCTTACTAATGCTAGAATCAACCCAAAATCCTTATAAGTTGTAAGGTTGCAATTCTCAGATTTTAAAAATTGGAAAAAATATCGGGAAGAATATCTGACAACATCGACAAAAATTATAGACTGTCAAACGTTCAAAATTAGTCAGCTTCGTCAAACATATTTTGAAGAACGCAAACCTAAATTCAAAGCAAACTATAACTATGGCAAGATTACCAAAATTTGTGTTATTCCAGCAAAGCTAAATGGTAAATTATCTCTTGGCAAAAACTTATATTAAATATTAGGTAGAGGATCAGGGTTGAAAAAAAACATGTATTTTTTAATTTTATACAAAACACATGTATTTTTTGTTTTAACCGGTTTTTTTTGTTTTAAACATGTTTTTTTTGTTTTTAAATTTTATGCTTTAAACAAATAAAACTTAGAAAAAAAACATTGTTAAATCATATTTTTTCAAACAAATATTAATTTAAAATGTTTGATCTATTATTCTTTATTCTACTAAATAGCAGATACCTTATTTGAAGTCCGACTCTGTACTAAACTGTCGCGATCAGCTATGTTACGAACTACGTCGCTCCACCGCCAAGAGGCTGTGCCGGTGAATCCCCGAAATAAGAAAACCAATTGCAATGAGGAACCATTGGCCTGGGGAACCACAGACTATTTATAAATTCGCATTGCAAGTTGGCTATTGCAATAACGTCTACTGTACTGTTAGTCATTTATTTAAGTAAGTTATTTTGTGGTGTTCTTTTTTTGAAAAATGTCTATGGGAAGGAAGAAAGATGCTATTTCGTCATATTTTGATGTTGTTAAAGATAATAACAAAAAATCAGTGACTGCTAAATGTAAAAAATGTAGAGTAATTATGGCTGGACTAGTACTGCGTATGAAGAAACATATTCAAAAATGTGTTCCATCTGAAAATTCTCAGCTGCCAATGTCAACTATCTATGATTCCGAATCAAATGAGGATTTAACGCTAGATGAGATATCCAAAGCCCAAAAATATTCAAGGGATGCTTACCCAGATAATAATACAGGTAAATTTAAATTTTAAACTTTTATTTTTTCGGTATAACATATAACGGTGTTGTTTTTAACTCTCAAGGTTAAACTCTTTTTTTCAGAGTCTATGTCAGCGTCAGCGTCAGCATTAACAATCGCTGTTATTGATAGCGATAGCACTTTATGTATAAATGACAGTGACGTTGTGATGACCCCAAAACGGCCAAAACCGTCTACTTCTAAAAGCAGCATTTCAAGCTTTGTTATTCGAACCAGCCAATCAGAAAAGAATGAGTTGGATCTACAAATAGCCCGATGTTTATATGCAACAAACACATCACTTCGTGCAGTTGAACATCCCGAATTTAAAAAGATGATAAATGCATTACGTCCTGGATATAAGCCACCAAATAGGAATTCTGTTTCAACCGACTTGCTTGATAAGGTTCATAATTCAGTACAAACAACAATTAAAGAAAATTTATGCAACAAGAAGGTTTGTTTAGCGCTTTACGGCTGGAGCAACGTTCATAATGAACCTATAATAAGCGTATGTGTCACAGATATAGAAAGTGAACGGGTGCATCTGATAGAGTCCATTGATACGAGTGGGAATAGTCACACTTCCGAGTATTTATTACAGCTACTTAAAAATTCAATTATGAAATGTGAAGAATATAATTGTAAGGTAACTAGTATAGTCACAGACAACGCTGCAAATGTGACCAAAATGAGAAGGGATCTGTTTGAGGAATTAGACAGGAAAGATATAATAACTTATAAGGAATAAAGGGTAATATCAAAAAAGTTTGTAAATATTTCAGAAATGTACATTTTGCTAGCGCAAAATTCCGAAAAGCTGATGGTTCTGCTCTTGTATTGCCTCAGGATGTTCGTTGGAATACTTTATCGGACTGCTTGGAAAGTTACTTGAAAAACTGGCCAATATTATTCGACGTTTGCTCAACCAACAGAATAAGTATTGATAATGATATACTAAAGCTTGTAAACTACACCAATTTAAAGACAAATGCCCAAGACTATTTAAAAAAATTAAAGTATATCGCAGTTGCTTTGGACAAAGTCCAAAGAAACACTTGCACTATAGGAGAGGCTACAGAGATATGGATAGAACTTTTGGAAGAATTCGAGACTGAACAAGCAAATGGAGAATTTTCGGTAAGTGATATGAATAAAGTCAAGGAGCGTATGGAAATGGCTTTGACCCCAGCTCATTTTTTGGCAAATTTGCTTGATCATCGCTTTAGAGGAAATAAACTTAGTCAAAAGCAAATAAAAACTGGCATGGAATATGTAGAAACCTACCATCCAGAAGCATTGCCAATTATTATTAATTACCAGGCAAAGTGTGCACCCTTTAAACCATATATGTTTTCTAAACATCTAATTGAGAATGAGAATGTAAAAGCAAAACCATTGGCATGGTGGCGTTCTATAAAAAATATAAATACGACAGCATTGGAACTTGCTCAACAGCTTCATACAGCTATTGCATCGTCAGCCGACATAGAAAGACTCTTCTCATCATACGGTTTAGTCCATTCAAAACTCTACGTAATCGGCTAGGCAATGTCAAAGCAGCTAAGTTGGTTTCAATTTTAAAGAGCTTAAGTCCATCAGTGATGACGTGACTGATCAGATTGATGACTATGAGACTGAAAAAGTGTGAGAAATTTGTTAACGTTAACGCTTGTATGCAAAATGTTTTAAGTTTTCCAATTTTTGTTATGTTCCTAATTCCTATTATTAATAAATAAATAAATAAATAAATAATATGTATGTCAAAAAGTTTGTCTAATGTATTTCAGAATTTTTCCTATTTTTATTCATTATATTAAAAAAGAAAATAAAAACTAAATATTACTCTTTATATTTTAATTATTATTCAAATAATATGAATGAAATAGTTTTGACATTTCTTTTAACAGGGCACACATACATGCCCATCAACTCAATGCACGCAATGATTTGAACTCGAAGAAATAAAAAATCTATGATGGCTCCATAGATGGAGCACAATTTTGAGGAATGCAAGACTGAATCCTAAACCATACATGGTAAAAACTCTTGAATACAATGATTTTTTGGATTTCAAAGAAGCATCTCAGTTATACCGTTTTCGACTGACTGCTCTAGAGTGCTCTCGAGCGCTCTTAGATCGATCTTATCACAAATTTCATGTTCGACTGGGTTGCTCTATGTAACTAAACAGATTATCATGTTCGGCTGACAAAAAATTTTTTCTAGAGCAATCTCAGATTGCTCCTTATGTTTTGCAAGAGCAGCTACTAGGAGCACTATAGAAGTGGGGGAAATATAAACATAACCTATATTTTTGAAGTTAAAAGTTTATACTTTGTAGTTAAAAGTTTTCATCACTTTTGTCAAATAAAAGAAAAACCATGAGTAATGAAGAAATATTAGTTACATATTTTATCAAGTTCAAGTACGTGACAATAATAACAATATTTTATTTTATTTTCATCTATTTTTTGATGACAAATTGTTGGGAATTCTGGTTATTGAAACCAATATATACTCTACAGGGTATTATAAGAAAACCTACAGAAACAATGTACTGGTCAAATAAAGAAATCTTTGCAACGCCAATTTTCTCCTGATTGACGAGTTATTATACTAATATAAAGAAAAATTTGCACTTCATGGATAATGAAAGTTACGATCTACATAATCACCCTAATCTGAAATTGAATAAAATTTGGCCTGTTTTCCATAATATAAATGTTAGCGTTTGGTATATGGATCAATGCCTACATGACTTAACTATAAACAATGTAGCATATTTTAAACTCAAGTTAGTTCTGACCTTGCAATGTATCGAGACAGACGTACGGTGAGGTGGTTGGGTGGATAAATTATAAAATTTTTGTGTTAATTAAAGTCAGTATTATTAAACTATTTATCTTAATATTAACCTGATTCTTACATCAGAAGTGGGATACCTCCCTTTCTATCCATACGAGAGGGAGAAAGGACCTAAAACATTGTGATCAAAATGGCCGACCAAGCAGTACGCGAATCGATAGTTAATGCTGACGCTGAAAACGAGTCTGTGTTAAATGAACAGGACGATGTAAACGGACAGATATTAACAATGTGGAAATTGCAACAAGAAAGCAACATGGAATTTCAAAAACAAATGGTGCAGATCCTTTCTACAATGGCCGCTCAGAGCACTTCTAACAACATTGTGTCGGCTAGTACAGCAGCATCAGGTACGCCTGCGCCGGATGTCATCAGATCCGCTTTGGCGTACATACAATTATCGAGGTTTGACCCTGACGATACTCCATTTTCTATGATCGAAATGGATGGATGAGGTCACCCGAATTCAACAAGGAGTCGGCATGTTGGACACGCTGATTCTGCTCACCGTCATGTTATCAGCAAGCATATACAAAGGTCGTTTAGGATGGGTTCAATGAAGAGATCGCGTTTTGGAATAAAATGGAATCTTTTATGTGAAGAAATTGAAGAAAAATGAAGTTATAGCCTTTCAAAGAGGAAAGTGATTACATTCAAGTGAAAAGACAAAAAGGATGTCTGTTTACGCTCTCCTATCCACAGCAGTAAGAAGGTTGAAACGACAAGGACGGGGCTAAAATTTGCAAACCTCAACTCGTCATTGATTATAATAATACTATGGGCGGAGTTGACAAGTTAGATCAACATTTACATGACTATCCCGTTAACTCTTTCCGTCCCTCTGGTACAATTATTGCACCACCTTATATTTTGCACTATTGGCATAGTGGTGCTCTGCTTGTACCATTTATTCAAAAATCTTTTGCACTTGTCACGGAGGTATTATTGGTATACCACTTGGTAGATCACTGTATTGTGTTGTAAAAAAGAAGTATAGATGGCGGCATCGGTTAGAAATGCAAATATAATTAATTTAAGTTATATTTTCTGTTGTGTGCAGGTTTGAGCAACAGCTGTTTTATTTCAATAATAATAACGTTGTTTTTTAAATTGTTTATTTACGTTTTCAAGTTGTTTTTTGTAAGAATGTAATAAATATAGTTGGTAAGTAATTGTGAATACCATATTGAATAATTTTAATGAAATGTATATCCCATAAATATAGAAATTGGACATGTCCATATATGTACCACCATGACATATAAACATAAATTTATAAATGGAATTTTATTTATTTTTATTTTTATTTTTCTAGTTCTTATGGATCCACGAAGAAACGATTTGCCATTTAAATTGGTGGATATAACTTATGAAGAACTAGTAAACGAACTTAATAATTTTAATAATGAACTCTTCGAAGAAATTCCATCAGACAGTGAATCAGTCGATCCAAATGACGGCGATACGGATGTTGAACTTACGAATGAAACTATCGAAAATATTGAAAATTCTATTCCTATGGAGTTGGAAGATGAATATATATCCGAAACTGACAGTGAGGATATTCCCCTTTCTGAATTAGTTCAGCGTATCAGAAATGATCAGGTAAACCTGTTACCTCTTGGACCACCACAAGTAACGGTTCAATATGATCCTCCCAATTGGAATAAGGCCAATATAATTAAAGATCCTGAGCCATTTACAGAACCTGCTGGAGTGCCTGACTTCATATTAGAAATGGATGAAATGGAACCTGCTAATATATTTGGTCTATTTTTGTCGGACAATTTACTTGATCTTGTCGTATTTCAGACAAACTTATATGACCAACAGGCTAATCTAAAATCAGAAAAACAGTTTGTTCCAACAACTAAGGAGGAAATTAAAACTTTTATTGGTATCAATATTTTGATGGGCATAAAACGCCTCCCCAGTTATAAAGACTACTGGAGTTCTTCGCCAGATTTGCACGATTCCTACATAAGCAGTAAAATAGATTTAGCTGGCTATTAGGAAATATCCATTTGAATGACAATAATAATATGCCTGCAAGAAATAGTCCTGAATATGACAAATTATATAAAATAAGACCCTTTCTTGATATAGTACTGGAAAATTTTCAAAATAATTTTAATCTAACGTGTGTAGCCATTGATGATTCCATGGTCAAGTTTAAGGGTAGGAGAAGTCTAAAACAGTATATGCCCAAGAAACCAGTAAAGAGAGGGTATAAGATATGGATTCTTGCAGATCAGTCGGGATATGCATGGAATTTTCAAATTTATACTGGAAAAGTAAAAGATTCTGTTGAAAAATCTCTTGGTTCCAGAGTTGTAAAAGATCTATCTCAGAGTTTGCATGGAAAATGTCATCGCTTGTATATGGAAGTCAAACGTAAAGAAAAAAACGGTGACATAAAAGAGGTCCCATGTCCCCAAATGNAATATGATGCAAGTCAAACGTAAAGAAAAAAACGGTGACATAAAAGAGGTCCCATGTCCCCAAATGATTTCAGATTACAATGCTCATATGAATGGGGTAGATTTATTTGATAAAAAAAAATCAGTTTACGAAATAGATCGGAAAAGCAAAAAATGGTGGCACCGGTTATTTTGGTTTTTCATTGACGCATGTGTAGTCAATGCTTATATTGTTTACTCAAAATCAAACCAACCCAAACTAACAATGAAGGATTTTAGGAGAGAAATTAGTAACAACCTAATCATAAATGCACCTAAATGAAAAAGAAATGATTCACCAGCTGTTCGCATAAAAGCACATAAACCATTTGTTCCAAAAAACATCCGACTTCATTCAGCAGACCATAAGCCCATTTGTGGTACACGGAGGCGTTGCGCAATTTGTAGTACCAAGGATTACCAA